AACCAAAGTGTATGGAGAGTCTTGTGTTGGGGATAAGTGATCTAAATCAGGGTTCCTCAAAATAAGGCCCGGGGGTCAGATGCGGCCCTCCAAGGTCACTTACCCAGCCCTCACTCAGAGTCAACCTAAGTCTGAAATGACTTGAAAGCACATAACAGTAACAACAATCCGATCTCATCAGCCAAAAACAGGCCCATGCTTCCCATTGAAATACTAATAATTTTATATTTGTTAAAATTGTTCTTCATTTTAATTATTGTATTGTTTTTAAGTGGTTTTTGTACTACAAATAAGATATGTGCAGTGTGCATAGGAATTCATGTGTTTTTTTTTCAAATTGAAGGGCTAGAAGGCAGGATCATCAAGTTTGCAGACGACACCAAATTGGGAGGGATAGCCAATACTCCAGAGGACAGGAACAGGATTCAAAACGATCTTGACAGATTAGAGAGATGATTGGCCAAAACTAACAAAATGAAGTTCAACAGGGACAAATGCAAGATACTCCACTTTGGCAGGAAAAACGAAATGCAAAGATACAGAATGGGGGATGCCTGTCTCGAGAGCAGTACGTGTGAAAAAGATCTTGGAGTCCTCGTGGACAACAAGTTAAACATGAGCCAACAATGTGATGTGGCAGCAAAAAAGCCAATGGGATTTTGGCCTGCATCAATAGGAGCATAGTGTCTAGATCTAGGGAAGTCATGCTACCCCTCTATTCTGCTTTGGTTAGACCACACCTGGAATATTGTGTCCAATTCTGGGCAACACAATTCAAGAGAGATATTGACAAGCTGGAATGTGTCCAGAGGAGGGCGACTAAAATGATCCGGGGTCTGGAGAACAAGCCCTATGAGGAGCGGCTTAAGGAGCTGGGCATGTTTAGCCTGAAGAAGAGAAGGCTGAGAGGAGATATGATAGCCATGTATAAATATGTGAGAGGAAGCCACAGGGAGGAGGGAGCAAGCTTGTTTTCTGCTTCCTTGGAGACTAGGACGCGGAACAATGGCTTCAAACTACAAGAGAGGAGATTCCATCTGAACACGAGGAAGAACTTCCTGACTGTGAGAGCTGTTCAGCAGTGGAACTCACTGCCCCGGAGTGTGGTGGAGGCTCCTTCTTTGGAAGCTTTTAAACAGAGGCTGGACGGCCATCTGTCAGGGGTGATTTGAATGCAATATTCCTGCTTCTTGGCAGGGGGTTGGACTGGATGGCCCATGAGGTCTCTTCCAACTCTATGATTCTATGATTCTATGAATTAAAGATGTTGACCTGGCCCTCTGTTTAAAAAGTTTGAGGACCCCTGATCTAAATGATAGCACCCTTCATTGCATGCCTACTGATGCCTCCCAGGAAAGCATCCCAGGAAACCTCTGGTGCAACTTGCAAGTGTAGTCTACTCTTACTTATCGTACCCATGCCTGCACTGTTTCATGACAGGCAATTGGAGGGCCATTTAACACATCCAAACATATTACATATTTCACAGTGTCAAGTTTTTAAACTTTGTGTTTTCTCAAATACATTGGTTCGCTCCTGATATGATAAATATAAAACAGTGCAAGGTAGATCAAATTGGAAAACTTCATGTTCCTTCATGGGGTTTTGTCACAGGTGGGCAATATAGGACCACCTGAGCAGATGGGAGCTGAAAACCAAAAGTTATGGCAATGTATCCAGCAAAGGGTTCAGGTGAGGAGCTAATGCAACAACACAAGACTGTAGTAACAGCCAAAAAAGTAAATCAGAAACATAAGGACTACAATTACCCAATAAAGTCATCATCCAAACAGAAAATTAGGGGGACTCAGTATTTAATCCTAATGGTCAAAACCAATCCATAGGCTGAAAAGATTTCACTGCTCAGGAAGAGAGAGTTCACTGCTCTGTGAGACTGATATTCTAGCCAGAAAAGAACTGAGAGTTGATGGTTCTGGCTTCTAATAATACAAAAACTATTTCAGTTTTCATTCATCCTTATTCACATGACTTATTCTTTCTTTCTTTCAAAAAGAAACCCCACCCTATTCCTAGTATATACAGTAATCCATTTTTACATATGTACTGCTGCTTGCATTGTCATTAGGATAGAAGTCACTGGCACCCCAGATAGACTAATCTTTGTCTAAGAAACCTCTGAATTTAACATGTAGGCTGTTTGGTCATTGGTTCATGGCTGTCTTCTAATAAGGAAGGTCTATCATCTGTTTGTCAAATTATGCTCCTACTCTGAGTGTCTATGTAGGCTGATGACTCTGTGGTATTTCACACAATCTCCAAATGTTGCCTTTCTTGCATGGCTTACATGAGAAAATCATCATGTAAGGAATGTTGTGACAGGTGAGTGGTCCTGGAGTTTCGAGGGATGTTGTGGGAGTGTGTGGAAATATTGCTGTTGTTGTTAATTTTTCCTTTTACATATGTTTTCCTCCTGTTTGCTGAGCATAGGATCACAACTGTGTAAAACTCACATTAGCCAAGTATCAAGCAAGATAGAAATATTCCTCCAGTTCAAACCAACCTGTGTTCATAGTTTACTGTGAGAACACACTCCAGCCACATAAAACAGTGTATAGTATTAAAAATGAAATAATACCAAAACACATAATCCACGCAAACGTCGTCCTCAACCTATTATAGCAATAGCATAAAGTATGTCTGTATTCAAATACTTTTGTTTGCTCATGCAAATAAACTCAGTAGGAAAGAGCAATGATGTTTCTGTAAATATATATGATAGAAGTTGAAGGCTTTCATGGCCGGAATCACTGGGTTGTAGGTTTTTTCGGGCTATATCCACAAAACAAATCTAGATTGACTTCAGATGCTTTGTTTTCCCCTCACCAGCTTCTTCCTGAATTTCACCTTAATTAGTCTAGGGTTGCATCTGCACAGTTGGATCAATGCAGTTTGATACCACATTAACTGCTGTGGCTCATGTTCTCTAGAACATGGCCATATAGCCCAAAAAAAACCTACAACAACTTATATGATAGAACTTTGTATCAGGCAACATCCGGTGCCTTCACATCTTTTAGCATTTTGGGGGTGCAATGTTTCTTTTCTTTGAATCTATGATGCATTTTATCTCAAGCTTGTACATATGCTTCATACTTATTTTTGTTTAGGCAGGATCACTAAAAAGAATGGCAATCCCATATATTGTGGTCATTGATATTTAACAGATGATGATGATGATGATGATGATGATGATGATGATGATGATCTTTATTTAATATACCCCACCCCATCTCCCCAAAGGGACTCGGGACAGCTTGCAACATGGATAAATACAATAAAAATATATAGAATTAAAAAAAAACCCAAAATAATAACGCATCAGATCAATATAAGACAAAACTTAAATTTGTATCGCATATGAACACCAGACTAATTTATTACTGGGCAATGAGGAAAGATGACTCCACAGGTCTAACTTGCCACTGGGTATCTAATAATGCCAAAAATACTGTTTCTTGGTTGAAAACATGAAAGACCAAAGCTCTACAAGTAAGAACTATTTTATCCATGAGTACCAAAAAGTCCTAACTCTTGCATTCATGACCTGACAATAACTTGGCCAGGAGATGCCCTAAATCCAGCCTGTTATAAAAGGCATAGACTGTAGTTAGCCTTCTGAGCAGACATAGAATCATAGCCCTGTTCATCAATAAACATCAAAATGCAGTAATGCATTATGGAGATGTGGTGGGCAGGAGAACAGATTCCTTCTCTAAATATTGCCATCTCCTTCAGTTGCACTGTCCCCATAATGAAGGTTCTTGTCATTATAGGGGAAAGTGTTAGGGATAAAGGTGCTTGTGGGAAATAGCGGTAAGAAACACTGCTTTTTCTTCCTGCCACTTTTCTGCTGGAAGTGATCTTACACACACCCCTCCACCAAAGTAGTTCTGCAGCTGCCTTTTAGAGACCCAGGTCTGCTGATTTAGATCTGCTTGCTCCTTTTAGTTGGATTTGGCTCTGTATCTAATTGGGAAAATGTCTACTTTGAAATGAATCGGACCTGGAAGATAAGCAACATAGAACATAAAGGCAATAAAGCTAATCTAGTAAGATTAATCATGTCTAGGAGTTGAGAGGAGAGTAGACAGTGAAATTTAATTTTTGAACGATACTCCACATCCATCAAAATATGGGCCTATAATACTATATATTCACTAAAAGCAGCTGTTTCAAGGCAGTGACTTGCTTTCATCTCAGTTTTGACTGAACAAAACTGTCATACTTTCAGTGCCCCAGAGTTGTTTTTGGAGGTTTGTGACAGCATGATGAAACATCACTTGGTACTTTAGGGTTATGTCTTAAATTGGACCCCATTATTGCCTTGGAATCTAGTACACAATCCAGTTTATATCAAAGTAGTTAGACTGAAAATTGCTCATTTTTTCTGTAACTAATCCAAAACGAATCTAGATTGAATTCAGATGCTTTGTTTTCCCCTCACCAGCTTCTTCATGAATTTCACCTTAATTAGTCTAGGGTTGCATCTGCACAGTTGGATCAATGCAGTTTGATACCACATTTCATGGCTCAGTGCAATGAAATACTATGATTTGTAGTTTGGTGAGGCATCAGTACTCTTTGGCAGAGAAGGTTAAACGCCTTGCAATACTACAACCTCCACAATTTCATAACATTGAAGCACGGCAATTAAACTGGTATGAAACTGCATTAATTCTACAATGTAGATGCATCCTTGGTTTAAAGCGCCATACCTCTCGCTCTCCCCTCAGTGACCCTGGAACAACACATGGCAGAAAAACCAAAAGGAAACCATTTCTCATAATATACAAACAAGCAAATAGCTTGCACCTCTCTGAGGACTTTTCGAGGATCTTCTACATGTTTCCCCACAAGAAATATAAAGATTTTAATTGATTCATTCATTGGCTCCCAGGAGTGCCGATGGGAGGAAATGCCTTCCATATAACCCAAGGAGGGATGAGCAACGCCAGGAAGATTGTAGCAAATCTACTTACACTTTGTGGTGTGAAATAATCCCTCTGGGTTCTGCCCATTTCTTTCTGGCACTGTTGCTTCAGTCTTTTCTGTGAATATAAGAAAAACATAGGCATGAGAAAGGGAAGCAATGCAACCACTACAGAACTGTCTACGCAGGCAATTCTGCTGGGCACCGATACAACACCGGGGAGGCTAAGGATGCTGAAGATAACAAATAGATAAATGGATACCTTTCAAGAGGTAAAGGATGTGCTTGCTGCAGCCGGCTACCCGTTGTCTTGTGTAACAGCAAGAGCTGCTCTGTCTCTGTACCACTGATATGCTATCAGCAAGCATTTCCAAAAGATGTCTGTGAGGTCCTAGTGCCTGTGTTTAAGGTTTTCCCCTCATAGCAATTGCATTTTATCACTTTTTCACACTGTTTCAAAGTGCCATTATGGGGAGAGACGCTAATAGAGTACTTCAATCAGCGTAAGCTCAAAACAATACGAAAAGCCTATTTGCTCTTCTTAAAAGAACAGGGATGTGTAGAGATATCTCTTCAAAATGCTAAAGAGGACAAGAAAAATGGTCCTACTTTCCACAAAAAAATGGTTTTCGGTAGTCATTAAAACTGCAGTTCAATACATACTTAACTGAAACACTGTAGGATGAATGGAGGTTCACAAGGTTTTTAGATTTCTCTGTCAAAGTACTGGTGCCCCAACAAATGATTACCTTCATGATTCTATAGCATTGAGCCATTTTTTTTTGTTGTCAGAAGCAACCTGAGAAACTGCAAGTCGCTTCTAGTGTGAGAGAATTGGCCGTCTGCAAGGACGTTGCCCAGGGAATGTCCGGATGATTTGATGTTTTATCATCCTTGTGGGAGGCTTCTCTCATGTCCCCGCATGAGGAGCTGGAGCTCATAGAGGGAGCTCATCCGCCTGATTCGAACCTGCGACCTGTCGGTCTTCAGTCCTGCCAGCACAGGGGTTTAACCCACTGCACCACCAGGGGCATGAAAGTTAAAGTGATGTGAAATTGCATTAATTCTACATTATAGAAGCACCTAAGCTTGTGTTTTTTTATTTCAATGGACCTCTTCTAAGTATGTTCTAGGGGTCAGGACTATTTCTGAAAGGGCTGGTCAGTGTTCAGTACTTTGCACTCATTATTGATTTATTTTATTTATTTGGAGTGTGTTTGTGACCATATATGTATTTATGCAAGATTGTAAAATAATTTAAAAACCCTATAAGAACAGCTTCTCCAATGCTTCAACTTGGCAGAGTGAGTTTTCCAGGAAAAATGGGGAACATGTGGCTTTCCAAATGTTGTGGGAAGCAATAAGCCGTCCCTCCCCTGTGACGGCGCGAGTGGCGCCAGCTATATGTAGAACTGTAAGTTGCAGGATTTGAACTGTTGTATCATGCCTGGTTTTGCCTTTTTACCCCGTAAATGTATAGTTGGATTGATTGGTTATTTATAGCTGTCAATCAATGTTGTTTGCTCCAGTTGAATTGCTCCTCCTGCTCAATTGTTTGACCCCACCTTTTCCTAGAGAGCAGGACAGTGTTTCCTTTTCCATTCCATCATCAAACTTTCTATCAGATGGACGTGAGAGAAAGACTTGGCTCTGAAGCCCTTGATTAAATTACCTCTCAGCACCAATTCTGAGGTTCTTACCCTTGAGACTTATTCTTCATGTTCAGATCAACCCGGATGACGTTGAGATATTTTAGGTATTGTGTAGATGGGCCCTTACTGGTGATGCCAAAATGTACACATACTTTTTGCCACATTGCTGTTTCTGGGCTTTTTGAATGCCTGGGCACAATCACCCTTGATTTGTCCGTGGGTCATATCAAAATTTATAATTTTGGCTCCAAAACCTGCCTTTGATTTTTAGATGAGGTTGATTTATTTGCAACACTGAAGTAGAATATATATTCTACTTCATCCTCGCTAATAATTACACACATACAATTTTCCTACAAAACACTTTAACAATGCCAGGGAGTAATAAACATTTCCCTGCCGGCTTCAAAACATTAAAAAGATATAACTCCTAAGGCTTTTTATGTGTGTGTGTAAGTCTTTAGCAGTTTATTTTCCTTGTTTTCCTTGTTTTGACATGATGGAGGAATTACAACCAAAGCTGAAAAATAGCATTTTTCTACGACACTATCATAACGCTGAGAAACTGGATCTTAGAATATAAGCATGGAAATGAAACTGTGGTGGGACTGATTCAGGCCATAGGTAAAAGGAGACAAAACTTAACATTCATCTAATTGGTGACTACTTTACAGTAGCTAATATATTTTAAAGGGTACTTTACATATAGCCTGCTTAGGTATTTTAATGATGCTTCGTTCCTCCTTTTTGCAGTACCGTCCAGCTGACCCCCTCCTTTGTATGCAGAAGAGATTTTGGCAGGAATTACATAAATCTTTTGTAATTCAACATTTGCAGTTCTTGAGAGAATGCCAGGCAAATAGAGGCATGCAAGGACCTCTTTTCCAAACCGTAACACTAGTGTGTTTGTGAGCTTGAATGTGTATGCACACCTGAAGAACAAAGAAGAATTTAGACAAATGTTTAAAAGTATAAACTTTCACAGGGGCCTAGACGGCATCAGATCCTGTGTGAATTTGGAAGCTAACTAGAATCAGCTCTGGCTAGCTTTTGATGGTAGACTGCTATCCAAACACCCAGACCTGAAAGTCGGAGCCCCGAAAACAGGGCTCGGATGGATGATGTCCTGGTGCCCTTTCATGAAATCAGAAACAAGACGTCTCCCACTGGAAGTCTCATCTGGCTTCTTCTTTTTACGAAGTACCATAATGGGCACAGAACACCAGAAAGGCATAGAAACTTCTTCATAAGCCAGCCTCCATTAAAGCTTTATTAAAATTCCAGCCACACAGAACCTGCCAATTACAGCTGAGCTGAAAACATGACAACAATGTGTGTATATCAAACTAGTAATGATAAAACGTATTATATCTTTGAGTCAATCAGAACAAAGTCTATTATTTTGAAAATCTATAGAATACTGATGTCTGCAAATGTAAGGAATGCCAAATATGGCACTTTCTCCTCTGGCATTATTCTTTGTTCAACAAAACAATAAAGGCTACTTCTGAATCTGCCCAAATCTCAACATGATTTGATTGAGAGCCATTGGGAACAACCCTGGGGATTCAGAACAAGATAACCATGGAATACCATGTTCTGTGAGCTAAATTTTAGAGGAAGGAGATGGCAAAACCATCTTTGAGCATTCCCAAGAAAACCTATTCAACCTATTCAACTTGTATGCAGAACACATCATGTGATGTGCGGGGCTTGACAAATGCAAGACTGGGGTTAAAATTGCTGGAAGAAACATTAGCAACCTTAGATATGCAGATGATACCGCTTGGATGGCTGAAAGTGGGGAGGAGCTGAGGAACCTTCTAACCAAGGTGAAAGAAGAAACTGCAAAAGCTGGGTTGCAGTTAAACATAAAAAACCAAGATTATGGCAACAAGACTGATTGATAACTGGCAAATAGAGGGAGAAAACGTGGAGGCAGTGACAGACTTTGTATTTCTAGGTGCAAAGATTACTGCAGACACAGACTGCAGCCAGGAATCAGGAGACTTCTTGGAAGGAGAGCAATGTCCAATCTCTATAAAATAGTGAAGAGTAGAGACATCCCACTGGCAACAAAGATCCGCCTAGTTAAAGCAATAGTATTCCCTGTAGTAACCTATGGATGTGAGAGCTGGACCATATGGAAGACTGAGCAAAGGAAGATAGATTCTTTTGAACTGTGGTATTGGAGAAAAATTCTGAGAGTGCCTTACTTATACATATTTTTTTACTCTGCCCAACTTTGGATTCATGGAAAGTCTGCTTTGTGTTTGGCTAGCCAGGTTGTCCCTTACCAATGGAGGAGTTTTAAAAATATTATGAAAGGGCATCAAGTAATTAGCTGGTTAATTTGCTATCATGGTAGTTTTATAGTCAGGAAAGGAAAGACAAGAGGCACCTGTGAAATTTTCTGTGTCACATACCAGAATAACTTGGTTGGTTTTAGGTTCTATGTACTTGGACGTGTGCTAGTGCCACCTCAAGCAGCAAAATGTTTTGGGTTGTGTTTGCCAAGGGCAGAGGTGAATGGTGTTGGTATGCAAATGAATGGGACACAAAACCTCTGCATGCAGTTAAATCCTGGATTTGGCTGAGAAACAGCCCTGCAGGTGCAGTTTTAATGAAGGCGTTTCATGATGTTTCTGTTTTTCTTCTTAAACCAGTCATTAATTAACAGAAAACAAAAGGGGAGAAGTGTTTCCACTATAGCATTTTAAAGCAATGTTTTATGGGGTTGAGATTCAAACTGTAGGTGTGTATAATGTGAAGCATATACACACCTAATAAGACAATATGAGGAAATTGTTTGTAGCAGTGATGGTAAATTAGAGAAATTCCGACCATGAAAGCCTTCGATAACGCAATGAGAGAAATATTTTTCCTTTTGCATAGATATAGCAAAAGGTTTGATCATCTTTTTGCTAAGCAAAGCATGGCTACTACTTAGTTTGGATTTCCATTTTTTAAAATAAAAGTTATTTAATGCAGTGGGTTGTTCTGCATAGTTGTCTGATGTGAATATCTCCACTTCTCTGCATAATGCCAGAGTAATAGCCCAGCTGTAGTAAGACACTTTCATTCAGGGTGGATCTCACTGGCTCCTTTTCTTCCTTAAATTAACAGGAGCTGAAGCCATCCAAAGAGAGGTTAAATGTAAATTGATCCCAAAATTTCCCAGCGGCATGTGATTCAGGCCAGTTATTTGTATAAATCAGGAGATACACCTTATGATACAAATATGAATGAGGAAAATGAAACCTGTCTCCTGAAAATGGCATTTGCATCATTATGAATGAAAATGTTAAATAAAAATTTCCTAAAAGTCGTAAAGATGGTTAGACAATTTTCCTTTAAAAATTGTACTTAATTGTCAAAGGCTTTCATGGCCGGAATCACTGGGTTGTTGTAGGTTTTTTCGGGCTATATGGCCATGTTCTAGAGAATGCCTCTAGAACTTGGCCATACAACCCATTGTACTTAATTGTTTGAAAGTAAACTGGGGGAAATACACATTGAGACACCTCAGAGAACCAACAATATCTGTGGAAGATTATTCATCTTAAATATATTAAGTTGTACTCAAAATACTTAATTTCGGTGCCAACCGCCTATCCAAATCCAGAGCTATTTCTCCAAGCAAATTCAATTTGAGCCTTTGAACTACATTCTCAGGAAGCAAAGCATGAGACGTTGTAAATAAAAGCAAAGT